TAAAAATTTAAATTTAGTTGTTAGATATGTAAATATATAACGAATGGGGGGTATGAATATAAAATCCCTTATTTTATATGTAAAGCTAATGCAAAAGAGCGACACACACGGCTTGCTCCCCATCTGAGCGCGAAACTGCAAGTTGGTCGATACATGTCGCAAGTCGCCCTCCGTCAGCTGGTCTTCTCTGACACATTCCCTCCCTTTCTCTACTCTCTCCGTTCCTTCGCCACCAGCTACACCGCCCGCGTGGTCCGCGCAGACTCCTCCGGCCGTCAAATCATAGTCGAACTCGACCCCTCTAACCTCTCCTTAGACTCTCATGGCTACCCCATTCCCCGTCGAGACCTCATCTGCCACATCTGCAACCTTCTCCGTACCGCTCCCTCGCCCTCCACCGATCCCCTTCTCGACGTCGCCGACTATCTCCAAACCTTAACCTTAACCCTAAACCCCTCCGAAGTCAGCGAGATTCTCAAATCCCTCCGGCCCCTTCGAAAGGCCCTCGAGTTCTTCCGCTTCGTTAAGACGCTCCCTGGATACCGCCATGATTGTTTCGCCTACAACCGTATCCTTGCCATTCTCGCCCGTTCGAGTGCTGAACAAGATATAATTGGTGGGATTGTGGATGAAATGGTGAAGGAGGGGGTTAAGGGGAATATATCGACGGTGAATATCTTGATCGGGGCTATGGGGGGAACGGAATATGATAGGTGTTTGGAACTTGCCAAGCAGTGGGATTTGAGGTTCAATGGATACACATATAAGTGTTTGATGCAAGCTTATTTGAGGCATCGGGATGTGGAGCGGGCATTTAGGGTTTATGAGGAGATGGGCAGGAGAGGCTATAAGTTGGATATATTTGCTTATAATATGCTCTTGGATGCACTGGCGAAAGCTGACAAGGTAATTCTTTGTAACTACTACTTTGTTGCCCAACCTTATGAATAAATTTTTTCCTCCCTTAATTTTATATGGGATTCAAACAGCAAATGCTAGCAGATTTTT